AACAAAGGGTAAAAACGAGAGAAGGCAGGTATATCTTGTTGACCATTTTGTGTCCTTGTATATTTGTGAATGAGACTTCTGGCACTGTCTAATGTTTGGTCCTCAGACTCCACTGATGTTTTTCTGGGTCTCCAGTTTTCAAATGACAGATGGTGGGAATTTTTCATGGGATGCCTCTATGAAAAAAACTTCAGTGACTTGAGATAAATTTCTGAAGTTGAGAGTACAGGTGGTACTTTTGATCTGGTGACTCTGGATAAGTAGAAAATAGGAATGGTAAGGATCTGTACATTCATTAAAACATATTTGAATTTAAAATAGAGGCCACATCATATTTTGTCACTTGTTTTATGAAATGAAAATGAGAACAAAGACTGGTTTTAATAGGGTTTGTTGTATGACCAGTAGGAGAAGTTTATTGTAAGTCTTCTCGTCATGTTAAATATATAGAACTGAAAAGAATAATACTCTTCTTTAATATAGTGTCATATTATTATTTATATATTTTCCTAAATTAAGATACAAATATTTCTGCATAATTGACTCAAAACTCCCTAGGTAAGGGGCTGTTTCTTCTATTTTAGTATGGTAAGGCAAGTCTTCAAGAGAATAATTAAAATAGATGAATATTTTAATGAAAAATTGTTAGTTTTCAAAACTTCTTTTCCCCTTTATAGAAATAACCTTTTTACAAGGAACAAACACTACTTTTTTTCTTTCTCAAGTATTTTCTTGACATGAAATTTTATTGAGTGGAAATGTGTATGTTTTCTTCTGGGTAACACTAAGAGTTAGTTTGTGTTAATGCACTCAAGAGAAACTGCATTTTGCAATTTGTTTTGATGTCTGAGATAAATAAGAACTGCAGAAAGTGTAAAAAGAATACTATAACTTTATTAGCAGAATCACTGTTGTTAATAATCAAGGGGAAAACTTGTAGAAATAATTCATAGAACTACTTTAACTTCATTTAGAAAATATCTGTTACTATACATTCTGAAATGTGCTTGGCAATATCCTAAGTTTTATTAGTATTCTCATAATGTGTTCTCTTCATTAGTCAAGGTCATACAAGAAATTCTTCATATGTGATTTGATTGGAACACAGATAGTGAGGAAAAAAGGATTGTGAAAAGAGGGACTTGTGGATAAGCATTCTGGATCATAAGGACCTTTTGTCTAATGCTGTCAAACTGTGTTTACAGCAAAGATTACTATGAGGTGATATTTATTCTGAGTCAGTTTGATGAGGCCATGGTGCTTCATCTACTCGGATGTCATTGTTCTGGTATGTTTGTGATGGTCCTTCAGCACAGAATTCAACATTTATAGCAGTATACCGATTATCTCCGTATTGTGAGAGACTCCGTGAGAATCAGTTGAAAGCATGAAGAGCATCAAAAGCTGTTCTCCTCCAACTCCACTTTCCCATTGACTGAAGATCTGAGCTGGGACAGTAAGGAGTGGTTTTGTTTTTGCATTTGGACAATGAAAGATCAGCTCTTCCTGAGTTTCTAGGCAGAAAACTCTGGATTAGAAAACTGATTCTCATTAGAATCTCCTGATTCTCAAACTTTTTGACACTGCCAGTAGCCATGGTATCCTCTCTTCTAGGTCTCCAGTTGCTGACAATTTACTTCCAGATTAGATATCTCCTAATCTCCTGAGACAACTCCTTATGGCTTATGTCTATTTTTATCTATATCCATATCTGTATATAATCTACACAGATTAATACTATCTACTTATCTACCTATGCATAATCCATTCTATTGGTTTTATTTCTGGGCATCACTACAGCTAGTTCACAGAGCTATGAAGCTTATGTTTAATAGTGTAAAGCATTAACATCAACATACATACATAAAATGAAAATGTGTGCTGCAGGATTTATGATTGTTTCTTCAGTTTTCCCAGAGGCCAGAGAAAAGACACACTCTGTCTCAGGTTCTTCTCCGATCCCTCCCCTGCTTAATTTGCCTTTGCTACTGTTCTCTCTCCCATCTCCATTGTACCAATAACACATTCAAATGCTCTCTCAACTAATGTGCATGTACATATGCAAACATTAATTCATATACCATAGTAATTATGCATTGCTTTTTATTTTTTCATGCATTATTCTTTGCTAAACACTTATTCTTGTATTATTTTAAACATGGAAAAGCTGTCGTGTTACAGTTTTGACAAAACTTTTTGAAAGATCCATTGACTTCATTGTTCTCTTCTGATGTAAAAAAAAAACCTCAAGGGTAAAATGAGAAATATCTGATTTTGTGGGTTGTTCAGCATAAAATTTGACAGTGTAAGCCAATGATCATATGTGTTGGGGGTGGATTTTAGCCTTTGGTCTTTATTTTTTCTTGTGCTTTTATCTCCCTTGAATCTGAGAGGAGGGACTTGGCCCTGCTTCAAATGATATGACAGATCCCCCATAGACGACCTCACCCTTCCTGGCTCCCTGGGGAGCAGAAAGGGGATGGGATAGGGGATTGGTCTGGGACAGGGGAGTAGGGATGGGAGAGGGAACTGGAATTGACATGTAAAACAAGCTTGTTTCTAATTTAAATAAAAAAATCTGAGAAAAAATCTTAAAAATTAAAGTTGAAATGCACCTTTCTTTTTTGCTCATTTCAGCATGTTTTACCTGCTAAAACCTCACTTTAATCTACAAGAAGGTTCTGTTTTTGGATAATTTCACAGACATGTACATCCTTGGCTCCACTATGACAAGTAAGAATTCTTATGCTGCTTGTAGTATTTTGAATGTAATTGGCACCCATAAGCTCATAGGGATTGGCACTATTAGGAGGTGGGGACATTATTGGAGTAGGTGTGCCCTTATTGGAGAAAGTGTGTCACTATGTGGGTTACCTTTAAGGTCTATTATACTCAAGCTTCAGTGTGGACACAGATTTCTTCTGCTGCCTAAAGACCAAGATGTAGAACTCTCAACTCTTTCTCCAGGACCTGTATGCTGCCATGTCCCACCATGATGATAATGGACTAAACCTCGGACACTGTAAGCCACCACAATTAACTTTCTTAATTTCCAAGACTTCCATGGTCACAGTGTCTCTTAACAACAATAGAAACCCTAACAAAAACAATGTTAAAGATATTAGGAATGTTCAGACCACCTCCTACATTAGAAGATCAAAGGGACTGACTATGAAAATAAGACTGCAGGGAGAAATTCTAAGCAGTATCTTCAGTTACTTTGAGAAAGGCCACCAGAAACTTCTGTATTCCTGTCTACTCCACAGATTTTTTTAACTCTAATATTCATTTATACTGTATCAAGTAAGGAGTCAGTGTTCTATACTTACAGAAGTCTCGTGCACAAGATCATATCATGACAATATAGCCCAATAGGAGCCTTTCTTTCTACTTTTCTCACACTGCCTTTTGCACAATTACAAACATTTTGTAAGCACCTATTCCATTTTATCCAAAGATTGCTTTGTAAACAATGCATTTTCTTAATTTTCTGAGACAAAAATATTATTATATCATTTCCATACATTCTATTGATCATTATAACATTAGAAACATTTAGTATGTCTTTTCTGGCTCTCTTGAATATCGCTCCAAGTTTAAGTAACCTATATCAACTCCTATCACATTGCAGACATTGTGTTTCTGACCAATGGCATAATTTAATTTCTAGATTAGCCATATTTCAACTATTCTATATTCAAATTTCAAGTCAGAAAATACAATTATTCCACATGAGTCATTATGTTTGGCTTTCAGTAAAAATATCACTTCATGATATATTTTTATGTAAAATTTCCTTTTCCTTTCTTGAAATATTTGGAGTTGTAAAACAGCAAGCATATATTTTTCCTGGAACATCACATTGAATTTGAGTAGGTATTAAATCCACCTTCCTTAGTTGTAAAACTTCTCCAGTTTAACATAATCCATACTACATCCTATTTTCACTATATAGTAAAATAGATAATGGGCAGCTGGTGGAGTGTGTGTCTTACACACAGAGGCTTTGCATTTAACCCCTAAATGTAGGTGATATGGTAGACCATACTTGTAATATCAGAACTTGGGGTGTGGAGGAAGGAAGATCAGATTTTAAGGACAGCCTCAGCTATATAGTGTGATCTACAAAGGGCTGGGCTGGAGACTTTGTCTCAAAGGAAAAATAAAGAAAGAAAAAAAGAAAGAGAGAGAGACAGAGAGACAGAGAGAGAGAGAGAGAGAGAGAGAGAGAGAGAGAGACAGAGAGAGAGAGAGAAAGAGAGAGAGAGAGAGGGAAGGAAGGAAGGAAGGAAGGAAGGAAGGAAGGAAGGAAGGAAGGAAGAAATACCATTAAACATCAATTAAACATCACCTTAGATTCTAAAATGAACTTCTCTCCTGCACTGATGAAAAGTGGGATGATGGAAAATAAACTAGGACATGGAGAAGAAAATGTCCTCCTGTTTAAATCGTGTCAATTATCTGATCCTTGCAGATATTTACACTAGGTGGGGGACAAGCTTTGCTTGACTCATGCACCAGTATCTAAGGAGTTGATGAAATCTGTACCTATTCAGGTAAAATAAATTTGCAATGATTTTCAAATTATAAGATACAGGTGGATAAAGTGAATCTTTATTCTCACATCCAGGCACTGGGAGAAGAAGAAATATGATTTCCAAATGTCCAAGTATAATCGTGCTTTATGTGAGCAAATTTTAAACTCAACTTCAAATTGTAATGTTAATCTTAAATTACTAAGAACAGACTTCAAGTAAGTCTATGATGGTATTTTTCATTTCTTTCCACAGTAACATTTTGTGTGGATTACTAAGTGCCCCTGTGTAGTTGCCTTTATTCAGAGCACTCACATTTAATCATCTTTGCTTTGCTTCCTACAAAGCATTTGCCCATGAAATTCGAACCACATTTGGGGAAAACAGAACTAGTAACCCAGCGGAAATCAGTAGGCTTTATGCCTCAGGAGCCCACGCATTTGTGTTAGATAAATGTCTCCCTACCTGGTTTTTGTTCAGCTGTCCACCCATATAAAGGCTCACAGCAGCCACATCTGTATTCAGCCACAACTCTTTGTGAAAGGGACAGCTTGAAAACCTATTAAAAATACATTGTTACTATGAGTATTTTGTTCCTTTTGCTATATAATAAGCCAAAAACTACAGTACGTGAGCATTCTGTGGGGAAGACTGCTGTTCCTTTTATTGACTTTATAGCCACACAAACTAATAGAAAATGCAATTTATATCATACAGGTGAGCTCAATCACACTGGACTCAACAGGATGGAATATTTTCCCTGCATTTAAGTTGTAAATGGCAGATTGGTTTACAATAAATATCCAGGAAAATAAAATGTCATTTCTTTGTAGAATTTTATTGTAAGAAATATGCCTGTTGTAAATGATATATTAAATTTCTGACTATGAAGCTAATGTTCATTACAGGCATTTTGCAAGTTCTTAAGAAATAAGAAAAAGTAAATATGGGCCACAATTTCATCATTTAAAGATAGTTACCAGTATATGGGAAATGTGAATTTCTTTTTTTGCAGCGGCAATGGTATTTCTGCTATTATTACTTTTCTATAAAAATGCACTGTCCATGAGCACAAGTTTTAATGATTTGCTTTAATTTATTCGGTAATTCTATTTGAGACTAGTTTTATCTGTAGTTCAGCAGACTTCCATCTCCATGTGTCTTTCCTCCTTTTTTTTTTTTCTTTCACTCACCTTTCCCTCTTAGTAAATACTTACTGTGGTTTACATTTACGCTTAAGACTATGAAAGCAAGGCTACAGTTATCCCTGAGAAACTATGGATAGTTGCTAATCACGTGCTGTTATTATCATGAGTATTGATGGTATAGTAGCACTGCAACTTGGTTTTTTTTTATCTTTTTTTTAAATCATTTTTTATTTGAATTAGAAACAAGATTGAATTACATGACAATCCCAGTTCCCTTCTAGCACTGCAACTTGTAAATAGCACCCCACATGTGGAGAAGTCCTTTGGGAAAGATTTACAAGCATGCTGTTATATTGTAAGGACAGCCATGCCTCTGAAACAATGGAATTTAAACGCATCATTTCTTCTCAATGAGGCCATGAAAATCTTCACAGTATTGACCACAGATCACCAATGGGCAGGCATAAAAAGTGAACTAAGTGGAGATTGGAGAGATTACTCACTGTTTAGGTGTCTTCTTGTAGATGATTCAAATCTGGTTTCCAGGAACCATGTCAGGTAGCTAAAAGCTCTCTAAGCCTCCATCTAGTTCCAGTGTACCCAATTCCCTTTTGGATAACAAGGTAACCTACACACACACACACACACACACACACACACACCACACACACAAAACACACACACACACACACACACACACACACACACACACACACTTGTAAAAGCTAAAAATATTTTAAAGGTAAATCTGTTTCGAGGTTGAGTCCCTTTGCATATTAGTTCTCTCACCTTAGACTATAATGTGCCCAGGACACAGAGATGTATTAATTCAGTACCTGACCCCAGTTGTTCATTCTGCTCC